GTGAAATGGGAAGAAAGGGGCTAAAGGTGTAGGGAAGGTGGGATGAGTAGGGGAAGGGTAATAAGAGAAAAGAAAAAAATGTGAGATAAAGAAAAGATGGAAATAAAGTGCTTGTAGATGGGGGGGGAGGAAGGGTGAAGGGCGGGCAGGGACAAGGGGAAAAAATGAGAAACAAAATCTGTCATGTAGAGGTATAAGATCCCAACAATGAATGCAACTGTACTGTATCCCTAAAATGTACCAATAAACTCAATTAAAGTTGGGAAAAAAAAAAAAAGGAAAGAAAGAAAAGGCCTCTGTCAGTGCAGAATCCAGACAGAGAACTTTAGTCCTGAGCTCTTTCCCCTCTCAGTGGACGACCTGAGTAAGGCTAGTCATTTGATCTCTCGCTCACACCACAGTAGATTAGAAACAAGCTAAATGAGACGCAGGGGACATCAGTGGCAAGCTCACTGATAAAAAAGCAAAGAAAAAGAGGGACAGGTAAATGCGCAGAGGAAATAAGGATGCACAATTCTTAAAAGCAATCAGAGTCACTTTTATAACTACTGCATTTTAGGATAATATAACCTAACAGTTCTTGAATATTTTGGGCTCAGAGCCTCTTTATACTCTAAAACCTTTTTGAGAACCCCAAAGAACTATCTTAAGGTGAGTTATACATACATAGACATTTATTATATTAAAAATTAAAACTGAAATGTTTAAGGTATTTACTCACTGAAAATAATAAACCAACTACTTGTTAACATATTTTTTAAAGAAAAATGTTTTTCAAAAAAGAAAAATTTTAATGACAACAATGCCATTTTTTCATGACTTTGATAAATACCTTTAATGCTTAAATTAATGCAGCATGGCTGGATTCCCTTATCTGCTTTTACACTTCATTGTGATATGCTGTCTTAAGTATGTGAACAAAGTCCTAACTTGCAAAGATACATACTTTGAGAGGCCAGGGAATTAGATGAGTGGCACTGCACCTGCCTCACAAGTGCAAGGTCATGAGTTCGATCCTGTTTGAGGGAGCAGGACATAGTTGCAAAAAAAGTAAGTTTGGTTTTTTTTCCTTCATTCAATTTATTGGTACATTTTAGGGATACAGTACAGTTACATTCATTATTGGGATCTCGTACCCTTACATGACTGGTCTTGGTTCTCATTTTTTCCCCTTGTCCCTGCCCTCCCTTCACCCCCTCCTCCCCTCCCCCTTTACAAACACTTCTTTTCCATTTTTTCATTTTCTTATCTTTTCTTTACCCTTATTACCTTTCCCCTACCCTTCCCACTTTCCCTACACCTTTAGCTCCTTTCTTCATATTTCACATGGTCCATTATCTCATTAGGATCTTATGTACTATTATAGTTTTTCACACCAGAGAAACTATTCAGTGTTTACACATGTGACTTATTTCACTTAGGAGTATAACCGTAATAGGTATCCATTTTCCTATGAATGAATCTCATTTCTCATTCTTTATGGCTAATATTCCACTTTATAGAAAAACCACATCTTCTTTATCCAGTTTCCAAGTTTTAGCTATTACAAACTGTGCCGCTATAAACATAGGTGCACATATATCTCTGTGATATGATTCTTTTAGTTCTTTTGGAAAGATACCCAGCAGAGGGATGGCTGGGTCAAATGGAACCTCTAGTCCCAGCTCTAGTCCATATTGATTTCTATGGTGGTTGCACCAGTCAGCACTCCCATCAACCACGGAGAAGGGTTCCTTTCTCCCCACAACTCCACCAACATTTGTTATTGTGTGATTTCTTGATAGCAGCCATTCTTTGTGCGGTGAGGTGGAATCTCAGTGTTGTTTTCATCTGCATCTCTCAAATATCCAGTGATGTGGAACATTTTTTCATATATTTACTTGCTGCTTTTACTTCATCTGAGAAATGTCTTTGTACTTCAGATGCCCATTTTTGAATCGGGTCTTTTTATTTGGGGGAGCTGATTGTTTTCAGCTCTTTATATATTCTAGATATTAGTCCTTTGTCTGAGGAGCAGCTGGTAACTATTTTTTCCAACCTTGTAGGTTGTCTCTTAGTTCTGTTGATGGTTTCTTTTGCAGTGCAGAAGCTTTTTAATAAGATCAGATCCCAGTTGTTGATTCTTTCTGCTAGTTCCCGTGCTACTGAGGATTTGTTCATAAAATATTTTCCTATGCCAATGTATTCAAGAGTTCTGCCTAACTTATCTTCCAGCAAGTTTAGTGTTTGCTTTAATATTTAGATCTTTAATCCACTTGGATTTTACTTTAGTGCATGGTGAAAGATAAGGGTCCAGTTTTAATCTTTGGCAGATTTTTCTAACACCATTTATTAAAGAGGCTATCTTTCCTCCAGTGGGGACGGTCAGCTCCTTTGTCAAAGATGAGGTAGCTGAGTACATCTGGAGTTGTTCTTGTGTCTGCCAGTCTGTTCTACTGATCCTCAGGTCTGTTTCTTTGTCAGTACCATGCTGTTTTTATCACAGTGGCTTTGTAGTATAGTTTCAAATTGGGAATTGTTATACCCGCTGCCATGTCTCTGTTGCCTAGGATGGCTTTTGCTATTCTAGGTCTCTTATGGTTCCAAATGAGTTTTTGGAGTCTTTTTTCTAGTTCTGTGAAATATAGTGTTGGAATTTCAATTGGTATTGCATTGAATCTGCATAGCAGTTTTGGTAGTATGGCCATTTTCACTATGTTGATTCTCCCTACACAGGAGCAGGGGATATCTTTCCATTTTCTTATATCCTCTTTGATCTCTCTTTTCAGAGTTCTACAGTTTTCAGCGTAGAGGTCTTTTGCTTCTTTTGTTAGATTGTTCCTGGATATTTTATTTTTTTGGATGCTAATGTGAAGGGAATTGTTTCCTTAATTTCTCTCTCACTGAGTCTGTTATTTGTGTACAAGAAGGCTATTGATTTTGGGGTGTTGACCTTGTATCCAGCTACTCTGCTGAAAAGTGTCAATTAAGTCTAAAAGTCTTTTGGTAGAGTTTTTTGGGTCTTCAATGTAGAGTATCATATCGTCAGCAAATAATGACAGTTTAACTTAGAGAGTTAAGTTTTTTTGGTGGTGTTGCAGATCAAAGTGAGGACTCTGTACATGACAGGCAAGCATTCTACCAATAAGCCATACCTCTAGCCCAGGAAGAACTGTTTTTAATAGTCTTTTCAGATAATTAGTAAAGACTTAAGATATTCCTTAATACACCAAAATTCAACCAGTGAACTTTAACAGAAAATAGGATGCAATGATCTGTACTGGAATGAACTTGAAAGCATATCATAGAATTGCACACTCAGATAAATTAAATTAAAATCTACCACTCTCTTTTGCCCATTTATGATTTTATATCATGCATTAGTCACTTGGAAAATAATGGTTCTGTGAGTTATGCAGACCTTCCAAATGCTGACAGATTTTACAGTAAAACATCTAGAAATTATTCTATTTGTTACTATCACCACAGATTTCATTAGAAGAATCTGTAAACAGCACTGGAAAGCTGTGAAGCTCACCACAGCAATAAATATGTTTTACAAATTTCTAACTCTGACTTAGTTTGAATTTTTATCATGAGTCATAAGCACAACCAGATGCTTTCCTGAAGTAAAGGCAAAGCATAATTCATTTTCAATGTTCATTAAATATTCTATTCTGAATAGTCTGCATGCATGTGTAAACTTCTAAGTGAAAATGGTGTTCCAGGCCAAAAATATGCAGTTCACCTCAAAATTGAAACAATACTAGTGCTTTGCTTGAGCAAATCACTTTACTTCACTATGTATAACACAATATATTAAAAAGTATACTTCAAGGTCAAGATCTAATAAAACAATAATTTTTACTGCTTCATCAAGAACATAGTTAAATGAAACTGGCACTTTAATAAAAACGGTATTAGCACAGCTATTGGCTATGGCATCAGAAATTTTACTACTTTTCATCATTAGTAACTGTCCAAACAATTAAAAAAAAAAAAAAAACTAAAAAAACATTTTTTAAAGTAAATGACATCTCGGGATTACTCTCTTTAAGAATTTTGGACTCAAGGATCTGCAGATGACATGTAAACCACCGCTTTAATCGACTGCATGGGTGACTGACCAACCCTGTACATCCTAATAACAGCAATAGAATTTTTCTATTCAATTTTAATGTTCATAACTGATTACTTCATCATGAAAAGGCAAAACTATTTGTTAGGTTTACATTCTTTAAAAAAGACAGTGTAGGGCTGGGGATTTAGCTCAGTGGTTCTGCTGCCTGCCTTGCAAGCACAAGGACCCAAGTTCGATCTCCGCTACCAAAAAAAAATTCAAAAAAAGAGTTAGATACATCTTAGAAATATTTCCAAAATGTGGTAACACACCTTGTGACTCAATATTCAGTAGATCAGAAATTATGCTTTACATAAACTGCCACATTTCCAACATGTACACTTTCTCAGAGGTATAGATATTAAAACTGAGGACAAGATAACTTGTAAAAATGAAAAGCCAAATGATCACCCACATTTTAGGTAGCTGCCACCTTGCACACTCCAATCCAACACTGGGGACCTAAGGTGACAGAACTCAGCAAGGCATGGCTGAGTTACCTAGATGTACAAACACTTATGGGTAAATCAAACTGAGAAAAGAATCTGACCACAACAGTTTTTTTCACCGCACAACTAGGCAACTAGGCAGAGTTGCTTGCTGCAAGAATGGACTTGGAAAAGCCACAAGTCTGGCAGTGAGAAGAAGAGGGGTCATGAAGCTGACATGCTGATTGTAATGCCCAGCAAAGGGAAGGCTACAGAGATGATTTTGCATGAAAATTACCATGGGAAAAAAAATCCAGCTTGTGCAATTAAAGAGAAAATAATTTATATCCACGCAAAGCACTACATACAAACATAGTAAAAGTGGGAAGTCCACTCAGATTTTGAACTTTTGCATTACCTCCTTTCTCTTCTTCCTCTTCGTCACAAAACTCTGCTAGGGAAAATGCTTCTTTGAGTTGCTCTAATTCAACTTTTAGGGTCTCTAATTCTTCTCCACTCAGAGAATTAAGGACAGACTTCACCTGAATGGATATAAAATAATCAAAAATTGTGGCCGTAAGAAATGAAAAAACATTCTCAAATGAAGAAGAGAATACAGGTTAAGGTGAAGTCAGAATTACAGGCTCACCAGCCAACACAAACAATTCCTTAGAATCTTAAGACAGGAGGCTAGTTACTACAGAAAGGTAGAAGAATTTGTATTTCCAAAATTACCACAGGCCACAGGTGTGTACAAAAGCCAGGTGTGGTTGCACATGACCATAATCCCAGCACTCAGGAGGCTAAGGTAAGAGGATTACCATGGTTCCAGAACAGCCTGGGCTACACAGTGAGTTCAAAGCCAACCTGGGCTACATAGCCAGACTCTGTCTCCAAAAGAGGAAAAAAAAAAAAAACAGCAAGGGGAAATGAAATAGTCTTGAATCAATTAAAGGCTAACAGGTAACTGTCTACAAATTGGCAGCTTAAGACAACAGGTTTTTTTCCTGGCTGCTGAAGCCAAAGAAACTGTAAAAAAAAAAAAAAAGAAAAAGGGAAAAAAAGACTGGAGTAAAAGTAAAATAACAGATGAACTACTAAGAGCTCTTTGTTAACCCATCTTTTTTTGCGTCATTTTAGAGAAACAACATTTGATTCATTGTGCTCCTCTGTAGCAATAATTTAAACATTAGCTTTTCATTTGTTCTAGTATGGTGTTTCCAGAGTCTTAAGCCTCCATAAGAAATGCATTTCATCATCCAAATACACAAAGAGAAAATATGCTATGCAACAACTCTTTTTTTGAAGAGTTTCTCAGTTGCAATTTTTGGTTTGGAATTACCTTTATTTCACTTTCTCGAGAAAGCATCTCTAGAGCTTCTAGATGTGAAAGGCCTTGAAATTCATCAAAGAGTAGCCCATAGTGAGGTTTTTTGTCAGTTTCCATGGTAACCACATTGGAGGTCCATAGCTCTTCTTTCTCCTTCGCCTCTCGTAAAACCTAAAAAGAGATGAAGGCATTACAGCGCAGCAAGTAATGAGAGCTCAAGGGTAAGTTTCAAGGGAAGAAGGAATCAAAGCTGAGACAGGCTTCAGCACAGAGCACTGCCCTTTCATTCTGGGCAATGCAATTCAAATCCAATATACTCAGGAGCTGCAGGAAAAAAAATAATACAAAATCTGATGCTAGACAGTGTAAATAATATGTAAGGAACCTGGGATTTCTCTCAAAGTGGTCTGAACATTAATCTAATAAACTCTGACTTGATTTAGCATTTTACACTACACTGACAGGAGACTCTTGAAGAAAGAAAAAAAAAAAAATCTTGGCATTTTTCTAAGCATTAGAGCTCCCAGTGCTCAACCAACCCCCAGAGCTTTAATTTAAAATATCACTGAAAATTCTTTAAAAGGAAACTCTAACAATGTCCCACATTAATAAATGAAAAATTATAAAACAAAAATAGAAACAGGAACCAAACAGGTAAAGAAAACAGTACCTGAGATAGTGTAGAATTTTGGCTCATCAGCCCCTTAGTTCTTTTAAAGCCAGGATCCCCTTCTGCTATTACATCCATTGTCTTTTTCCCAATGAATTCTAAGGCGTCCAAACCCCCAGAGATAACGCTCTTTCCCTAGAAACCACACACAACTTCATCACAACAATATTGAGAAAATATATTTGAACATTTTGATTATAGGATTTAAAAGTAGTGGCCATAGATACCAATAACTGAGAAGAATGTGAAGCAAGTAAAGTCATCATATCCTGCTTGCAGTAAACAAGTAGTCAATATCTACTACACCGGCATGACCCAGCAATTCCACAAGTTCATCAGAAGACACGTATGTACAAGACTGTATGTACCGGTATCGCTTATAACAGCTATAAACTTGAACTATCCCCAGTGCTTACCAACTGTGCAATACATGTAATGTGACAGAGTCCCTCAGCGGAACACAGCCAAGAAAATACACAAAAACTCCAATATTTTGTTTGATGCAAACAAAATACTGTGTGAAGGAAGTCAAATATAATGGGGTACATACATTCAATTCCTTTTACATAAAGCATACAAGCAGGCAGAATGCATGTATGATAGTAGTAGTCATAAATGGTCATCTCAGCGCAGGAGATGGAGTGAGTCAGGGGCACTGTACACACCATAATATTAGTGAGAGTATTTTCCTACTGAGTATTTTCCCACTGTGAAAATTCAAACTGAACACTTATGACTTCATTTTCTGTATTTCTGATACATTTCAACAAAAAGTTAAAAGAAAAAGTACCAGCCAACCACTCTGATACAGGAACAATATTAAGTGCTCTCTACTATCCTTTTTAATATGTTTCTTACCATCCATAGTTTTCCAAGTATCCACCATAAAGAAAAGACACTTTCTCCCTGCAGCTCAAAGATGTAATTATGAACAAAATATTTATGTAAAGACACTGTCGAGAGCCACCAAACTATGAATTCCTAGTCAGTAAAATCTTATATACATTGCCTGTCTGTAATTCTTCATCCTATATACCTTTATTTCTTTAAAGAAAGTTTTCATGTAGCTCTTACTCTACCTTAAGAAGTCACTAATATTTAGTTATTTGGACTCTCATAAGAATAATCAGTTCCCATGGCTTTTCAAGGAAAAGGAGAAAGATAGGCAGACCATTATAATAATGAAAAGCCACCTTGCACTTTTTACTCACTGTGCTCTGAACAGCAGTAGAAATGGTTGAGAATACACCAAATGGCCCAGCCACCAAGGAGTTTTCATTCTCTCTGGCATTTGTCTCTCCTACAATAGGAGAAGGTTCATATGAAAGGTAAATATGAAAGGAAGAGTCACTGTGTTTTGCTTTCTTAGTATCGATGTGACTGTTTAATAGTTACACATGTAACCTTAAGCCTTTTTATTTTAAACCATCTGCCTATTTTAACATGAAAGCTAAACTATGCAGCTGTTTTTTTCACTTTCATTTCAAAAACTAAATGCAATCTTTTGAACATATGACTGATCAACACAACTTTAGACTGTATCCTGAGTGATCTCAGTGATACAATCTCATGCACAAGTTAAAACTACCATACCAGAACACAGATAAGTGGTTGCCAAGCGCTTGTAGGAGAGAAGGAAGTGACTACAAAGTAGCATGAAAGAACTTTTTTTGGTAATGAAAATACTCTCAATTGTTTATATAGTACAAGAAATATTCTGTATCTGTAAAATCAGTTATACTATACAGTTATACATGGTACACTATACTTATAAACTTAACTGTATGTATTTATCAAAACATAAAACTGCACAGCTATAAAAAGAAAATTTTGCTATATGTAAATAACTCCATATTATCCTAGAAAATTATAGTGATTAGTAGAAAGAGAATTACACATATTTCAAAGAAGAGTATGTTTCAAAAAATCTATTTTATTAAACTAAAATCTTACACATCAACTATTACATCAAATGATCAAAGTATATTGTATCAAATATTCTATTATAGGGAGGACTTTGACTTCTACCTATCATGAACTAACTGATGTTGGACTTGCCCTACTCTAACGCCAACTAGAAAACTGGACAAAATTTCCCTTAACAAGAAGTACAGTACTTCGGTCCAGGAGAACAGAGAAACAAAGTGAACTCTACATTCGGACTGGCTTTCTGTCTAGAGGCATTTTTCCAAACCATGACACAAGATGGGAAAACCTAAGCAGAGCAAAACAAAGAATGATGACTGGAAGAGAAAAATACTAGAAATAGGGAAGGCTGAGGTAGCTGGAACTCACAAGGTAGAAAACTGGAAAGGACAGGGTTACAAAAGGGAAGAGCTCTAAGAATCTACACAGGCATGCTCCTGTGTCTCTGGCTGGATACTACACTACTCAGACAATAGGGGACTCTCCAAGGCTGGAAAATGAACTGTTATGGAGAAGTAAGCTACTCTCAGAGCTCCTGCTTGGCTTAGGCATTAGATTTCCAATAAACCAAAACAGACAGATTTCATTAAACAGCTGAAAATTTGATAGACCTCATCTTCTGAGGTCCTAACAGGTCCTAGTCATTAGGATAAGGGTTACTCTAGATTCACCCTAAGAAGCTTAATGTCTGAAAAACATCTAACCTACATATTTATCATAGCTACCTGCAACAAAAGGAAAGCAAAAGACAGCACCTTCAAAGGAAGTAACAAGCCAGGCGTGGTGGTGCACGCCTGTAATCCCAGAACTCAGGAGGCTGAGGCAGGAGGATCACTGTGAGTTGGAGACCAGCCTGGGCTACATAGTGAGTTCCAGGTCAGTCTCAACTACATAGTGAGACCCTGTCTCAAAAAACCAAAATAAATAGATAAATAAAATAAATAAAAAATACAAAAATAAAAATAAATAAAGGACATAACAAAATCTCTAAGTGACGACCAAATGACTTTCATCAGCAGTCTCTGTACATCTCCAAGTTCTGAAAAGAAACATTCCAATAATATCCTTTGCAGTGAAATTAACCTCCCTCACTAGGAAGGTTAGAAGATGGGAAGGACTTATGAAAAGGCAATTTAAAGGCAGGGATTTATTTATCTCAGGTGGGTGGGGATTTATCTCAGGTAGTGCTGCCACCTGCCTTGCAAGTGAAAAGTCCCGAGTTAGATCTACTGTAACAAAAAAAAGAAAAGGCAACCCACTACAGTTTTGGAAAGTTCTCATTATTAAATAATTATTAAACTAAAATTTAAGACAATTCAACTTCCACTAAGTGGTACCTAGTCTATATCCTCCTGAGCCACAAATAATAAATCGAAGCCCTTTTCTCTACAGTAAGTCTTCAGAGTTATAAAAAGAACCAGCATGTTCTCCCAATCTCCTATCTTTAGACTTTTAGAGTCGATGTCCATGAGGCCTTCAACTTTCTAAGACATTAATTCCATCTATTTCATTAGGTAGCTACTTCTTGCAGGATTCAATGTAGTTTTCAATGCCCTTCTTAAACATGGTCTTGTACAGCAGCCATCTTTCAGAGGCTGTAGACACTGTTGTTTATATATCCAAAGCCACTTCTCATTCCCCGTTCACTCCCTAGTAAACCACACTACTGATTAGGAAGTTTCTGATAAATGCTCATAACTCACTCTCCCAGAATCTCTTTCTGCTACAGCAGGAACAGAAGACCCTGTTCCAGCCAATGGCACCTAAGGAGAAATGTTTGGGGCTCCTGGGAAAATCTTCATTCTCTTTAAAGGGGGAGGAATTCAAGTGGAAAAAGGATACTTTCTATTTTGTTCCTGACTTTAAGCACATTTGTTTACAAACACCATAGTTGGCAGTTGGGAGTATTATCTGGCAACCACTGAAGAACCACAAAGAAATCAACAAAGAAATCAACAAAGAAAACTGGAGAGACGCCTACCCAGAACCCTATCATCAATGAATCACTAAACTATCTGTATCTAAAAGTATACTTCTAGAGTTCTGTACTGAGAAAAATAAAATCAGTTTTAGTTTCATATTCTGTTAACTGCAGACAGAACAGTGATATGTAGAAATCCCTAAGAACAGTGCCTCGGATTCATTTGCAGCCCTGTTTGAATACTATGAAATTCTCCCCTGACTGTAAGTGATCCATGTAAAAGTGCTATGAGTATAGGCAGATATAACTCCCTCTCCTAGAAACTTGGAAGTAGAAATAAGGAATGAGAGCTGGTCACTGATGGGGATGTACATCAGGTGGACCTGGGGAAAATAAGCAGAGTCAATCGGCTTCAAGAGGAAAATTGATGTAGATGAGCAAAGAAGAGAAGCAGGGAGAATAATGAGGCCGGAGGAGATGGAGAAAGCAAACCAGGTCTTAAAAAACTCTCTACTTTCTGGTTCCAGGCCCTCCTGATCCCTGGTGATAATTTCGTCCTTTATAGCTTAAGCGAGGGCAGGTTTATACCTGAACAAGAAAAGCCTCCAGAATAACACTGCACCTTCATAAAAATCCAAATGTAAAAGCAGTAGCAAAACATATAGCCTCCTACTAACACATTTAAAAAAAACAGGTCATGAAAGATTCAAATTCAGCTAACTCTAATTGGTCACTTACTCAATTATGCCATGCAAAATGCTAAGCAATTCTCATGTTCTACATGTACAGCCTTACATATTTAATGTTTTCAACAGTCCCTTGAGGTCATTTGACAGATGCAGAAAGTGAAGAGACACACAAGTGGTTATACGACACAGACCTTTAGTTGGTAGCTAAAGATTCCAAATCCTTTATCTCACCACAGTCCTATGGTGCCACAGAGTAGATGTTAAATAAGTAAAACCAAGCTCAACTGTCCCGTTTCAATCCAAAATTCCAGATCTTAGTGTCTCTATATACTGACCTGCAGCACACTTGATTTCAGAGGAAATTTCACTGGGACTAGGGATCCCAAGCGAAGTCTCTGCTTTCTCAATGATGTTTGAAATACCTTGTCCTGATAAGAAAAATGATAACATTTTTGCTATTGGTTACCATAACTGAAGAAACAAACCAAAAATCCCACCTGCATATTTCTAAAAGCATTATGACCAGAAGGCATGTTATTTTAACAATACATAATCAGCGGGGAGTGGTGGCGCATGCCTATAATCCCAGCACTCAGGAGGCTGAGGAAGGAGGGTCACTGTGAGTTGGAGACCAGCGTGGGCTACATAGTGAGTTCCAGGTCAATCTCAACTACATAGTGAGACCCAGTCTCAAAAAAATGTTTTAAAAATACATAATCATTACTATTATCTCCTTACAAAAAAAGTTGATTCATCATCTGCAAAGCACAGGCTTAGAGGAACAATTCCTGGCCTTCAACTTTCTTATAAGAAAATGGTGCAAAGTCTAGGGGCAGAAAGTATCAGCCCATCATTACTAATCACTCTCAATCTACAAAGCTTTTGAATAAACATGGAGGGAAGAATTATTAACAAAGTCATTACATGCATCTGTAGCAAGCGCATACAAAAATAATGAAATGAACTTACCTACTGTAGCCACTGTAGCTGAGGCTGAGGAGAGCAAAGACTTGCTCCAGCTTCCCCAGTATCCCCATCCGGCATGGGTTACATCTTTAGAAACAGTCTCCTATTTTTCCCAGTAAGAAGAAAAACAAAAGACAATAGAAAATAAAAAATTACAGAAGACTCAGAACATATAGACAGGTATCCAACTATCAACCGAAGCATGAATGAATAAATACATGTTATTTGGGTAAGGAAATATATACTTGAGCCAGGCCTAGTGGCACACAACTGTAATTCCAGCACTCAGGGAAGCCAAGACAGGAGGATCACAAGTTTAATCTAGCCTGGGCATCTCAGCAACACCCTGCCTCAAAACAATAAAAGAAAGGTTGGACATGCAGCTCACTGCAAATGTCCCAGGTTCGATCTTAAGTACCAGAAAATAAAGCAATCAATAAATAACTTGACTGTCAGGTATATGTTATCAGCATGCAAGCATCACGTAGCCAAGACAACTACTTATTATGGCATTTATAAAAAGAGACAAATGTATTTCATAGTTTTAAAATCAAAGTGCAACCCTAAATTAAATCGTTGAACCCTAGTATTTTACATTCTAATATTTTAAAGTATATTACTTTAGATGCAACCTGTAATACCTGAACTTTGGAAGTTTCAAGGTCACTGGAAGGTTTAACCTCTGGTCTTTTCCGAGTGGATGCCACAGATTCTGATTTACTCTCTGGCTCAGCACTTCGGTCAACAGCATCAGAATTTTTGTCTGGCTCACAGTTTCCATCTTTAAAGGTGGGGGTTGTTTCCATTATTCCTGGACTCTCAGTATCATCTTTCTCTGACATGATTAGAACATCACCTGATAAAATACGATGTCCAAGAAAAAATTTAACTATATAGGCTTTTTTGATATAAATTCACAGATCTACACGCAAATGTAAGAAATATACAGAGAGACCCCATATACCTTCACTGAGTTTCCCCAGTAACACTAGATAACTACAGAATAATATCTCACCAGGAAATTGACATGATCCACCACTCTTATTTAGATCTTAGCAGTTTTACATGCACTCACTTCTGTGTCCAAAATTCTATAAAATTTTATTATATATGCAGTCATCGCTTGGTATTCATGGGGGAATTTATTCCAGAATCCCCTGATAACAGTAAAACCCACAATGGTCAAGTTCCTTACACAAATTCCTGTAGTATGTGCATATAACCTACACACATTGTCTTATATACTTTATCACTTACAGATTACTTATAATACCTAATACAATGTAAATACTATGTAAATTGGTGCTGTATTATACTATTTAGGGAATAGTGACAAGAAAAAGTGTATAGGTACATTATAGATGAATTTTTCCCCTAAATATTTTCAATCTGTGATCAGTTGAATCTGATGAGAAACCCATAGATAAGGAGGACCAATTGCACAGATTCTTGTGACCATCACCACAGTTTAGATACAACAGTTTAATCACAAGGATCCCCTGTGCTACCCTTTTTTTGCACCAGCCACTTCCTACACTTCTTCCAACCTAGAGAAACCAGCAATTAATCTGTTCTCGCTCTTTAAAATGGTCATTTTATGATAGCACATAAATTATGATATTACATAAGTCATACAGAATATTATCTTTTGAGACTATTTCATTCGGCATAAAAATCTCCAGATTCATCTCGGCTGTATCAAGAGTTCATTTTTTTATTTGAGCAGTAGTACACAATATGAATACTCGCAACTATTTATCCACCGAAGTTTGTCTGGGTTGTTTCATTTGGGGCTGTAACACATGAAAGTTCACGTACAGATTCTTACAGATACATAAGCTTTCCTTTCTCTGGGCTAAATGACCAGAGTAGTATTTTACTCCCCCCACCCCAGGATTGTATAAGTGATCCATTTCCTCTCCCTTCTCTCCAATGTTGATATTAGAAATATTTTTTAGTTAAGCCATTCTGATAGTGAAGTGGTAATATCTCACTGTGGCTTTTAAAATGCATTTCTGTAATAGTTAACGGATGTCGAACATCTTTTCATTTGCTTGTTTGTCATCTACATAATCTCTTCTGTGACCTATTTGCATCTTTTGCTTACTTATAATTAGAGCTGGGTAGTTTCGTTTTTTGGCATTTTTGATGGTTTTCTTTTTCTTTTCCTTCTTTTTGCAGTTGAATTTTGAAAGCTCTTTATTCTACATTCAAATCTTCTGTTTAAAATGCACTTTGACAGCCAATATACAAATGAAAAAATGTTCAACATCACTAACCACTTAAGAAATGCAAAGTAATCCAATACTGAGATTTCATCTTACTCCGGAAAGAATGACTATCATCAAGAAATCAAATGATAATAAATGCTAGAGGGCCTGGGCAGGGGAGAGGGAAGCCCTTCTAGACCCAGCTATTCCCCTTCTAGGTATCTTCCTGAAAGAGTTAATAGCATCATACCTCAGTGATCTATGCACACCCATGTTTATGGCAGCACAATTTATAATAGTTAAATCTTGGAAGTAGCCTATATGTCCAACAACAGGTGCATAGATAAAGAAAATGTGGTATATTTATACACAAAGAAATACTGCTCTGCTATAAAGACAAATGAGTTATTTGTAGGAAAATGGATGCACTTTGAGACCATAATGTTTAGTGAAGTAATGAGACACACAAACTTAAATATCACATGGTATCTCTTATAGGAAAAACTCAACATAAAGTGCAAAATAAGAGACAAAAGGAAAAAAGAAAGTTATTGTAATCCAACATGGACAATGTATCTAAAAGTGTGTCTTGATTTGGTATAACTGTCCAATTTGTTTTATAGGGTTTGTTCTGGCCTGTCAGTCTGGCTGTTAATCTGCATGTATGATAATTAACTTCACAAGGACTTACAGAATAAATGAATCTCATGGTGGCAAAAAGGAGGAGGGGGTGGAGGGGGAAGGGGAAAAAAAGAACTGAGATATGTTATGTGCATGTGCCAATTCCCTAAAATGAATGGAATCATTAGGTACTGCAAACATGCAGCAATAAAAACATCAAAACTTTTCTCCAATTAAAAAAAAAAAAATCCCAGACTATGACTTATCTTTTCTTGTCTTCATGGGGTCTCTTACAGAATAAGCTTTTCATTTCAATGAGGTATCAGTTATCAATTTCTTCTTTTATCAGTTATATAAAAACCTTACTAATCATCCCTCTTTCAATTTTTCTAGAAAGATTATTAAAGCCATAGAAAATATTTTTGCCAGACCAGCTTTGAATAGCAGTAAAGCTCTTTGGCAATTAAAGCTACTATTCGTACTTCTACAAAAAGCAAATATTAATTTTCAGGATAAATAAATATACCAAACAAATGTATCCTGCACATAAACAGAAATGCATACACATGCTCTAGGTATGAACAAACACAGTTTACTCCAGTATGTACTAAGTGTAGACCAGACTCAGTCTAATACCATCGAACTCTTTCTAATGAAGTAGAACAGACCCACTAACATCCAAGACAGACTGGACACAGAACTATAAAAGAAGCGCATACCAAATGTTAAAAGAAAAAGAGAGGAAGCTGGCCACTACATGCAGGGAACATAACTCATAAACACAGAACCTGAAATAAGTCTCAAGCCCTAGTCACCAAGTGGGAATCTTTGAATGCCAAACCTAGCCTACAGATGTTTTTAATTGGACTGCACAGTAAACTTTTTTCAATTAGTTGCTAACATTTAAAAATCAGATTTCATATAAAAATACACGTTTCCACCTATTCTTGTAAAACTGGAAGATGTGGCAACAGTGGGAGCACATCTGACTGTATAATAACTACCTTAGCCAAGAGCTCTTGGATAAGGCAATGCTCTCCCGGTAGTCCACAATTTCCACTCAAAACCATTTCATCATTTATTATAACCTGAGTAGTCCCTCGGGCATTTTTGTTTGCAACACTGCCTTAAACTATGCTTAAGACGTTGGAAGATGAAAATGCAAATGAGAGAATTGAAGGGCATGGAAACCACAGAAGAAAAAGCATAGAGGAAAATGGGACGGAGTCAGTCGCCTGGAGTAGTTAAAATGTAGGAGACAATGATGGGGAAGCACAAGGCTAGGCAGATTAATACAACACCATGAAACCTAAGCTATGTGGGTACATCATATACACACACACACACACACACACACACACACTACACAGTCCCAAAACACGTGCAGAAAAAGAATCCAGGCACGACTACCAACTGACACACAAACCAACTTGAAATACATTCATTCACTTGCTTCAAAACATCTTAAAATCCCACTGGGCACCAAGCTCTGGAGTTACAGAACTAATGTGAAGCAATTTTTACCCCACTTAATTCAAAGGCCCATTTAATAGGAAAGACTATACAGTCCTTGCACAACATTCAATATTTCTGTAGATGAATAAATATGCATTTTACCATTTTTCCTTATGGTTTCTACAGGTTACAGCATGGAACAATATTACATGTACTATACTAAATGGAATATATATAATACACTATAGCCGTTACATAAATTTAATTCACGTTATAAAAGACTAAAAGGACAAACTCCAAAATATTAAATACTAGGTAATTCTATTTTTGCATTTGTACGACAAATATTTAACGAGGATCTCGAATTTGCCAGATCAGAAGAGAATTTGTCTGAGTTGATGGTTTGCTTATTACTGTCGTTATGAGAAGAGCGTTTGCATCACTGTTCTCAGTAGCTTCATAACTGAGGGTGGATAATAACACCCGGTACATGGAACTGCACCATTCAACGTTTTTGCAAGTTTTCCGGGTGCTCTGTAGTGTGTTTTCAAAACTGAAGGGCAGACTCCAACAAGTGGAACCTCAAAAGTAAAACGAAACGCATCCTTACACACCCACCTCATCTACAAAGTGAAGAGCGATACAGCTCAACACCTGCGAGCCCCGGCTCTGCAGCCAGACTTTTCTTCCAGCCCTGGACGCTCTACCCGGGGTCAAGTCAGCTCACTTATCTGCACCTCCGTCTCCCCGGTCCACGGGGCGCCGAGTCGCCCCCTGCACACGCGGGGCCTGGGTCACTGACAGGCACCAACCCGCTCAAAGGTTACCAGCTGCTGCCGTACGGCGTTCGTGCAGGCGGCAGCTGTTCGCGTCCCGTCGTCACCAGCAGGGCCGTCTCCAGACGCGCAGGCGTGCTTCCTAGCGTCTCCCCACTCCCACGACCGCGTCGCCCACGGGAGATGCAGCGTCCACACCGCTCCTAAGTTCCCGTCGTCGTCCCAGGAACGCGGCACCTCGTCAACCAAAGGCTTTCCCAGCCCCGCGCCCTGCAGTGAGGCGCCCGCCGCCCACCCGCAGGCCGCCTCCGCTCCGCCCCGGCCCGGCGACCTCCTCTGCCTCAGAGTCCCGGGAACTCTCACCGCGCCCAGCCCCACCCTCACCGGTCGGGCACCGCCGACTCGCCGTTCCTCCGCCCCGGAAGTACTCCTTTAGCTGAAAGGCGGGGCTCCCCTGCCTAAGAGCACTTCCGGGTCAAGCAGCGGCTTGGGCGGAAGGAGTTCGGCTTCGGTTCGGTAAGTGTTTGCTCCCTCTAGGGAGGCACCGGGGGCGGACGGGTGTTGAGACCTATGGGTTGCGCTCGATGGCAGTGAGCGGAAATTCCGCTTTCTAGTCACCGACGATTTGGTGAGCGAAGCGGACCGCAAGTCAACAAACAGGATTTTCTCAGATGGTAATTGAGTGCTTTAAAGAAACTTGGCAGGATAATGAAGAACGAAGTGAGGGAGTAACAGGTCTTATGTAGATCTGGAGTGGAGCATGCTAAGTAGAAGGAAAGGCCACAGAGGGAACAAACGTAGCCAAGTTTAGGCGAAGGAAAGGGGCCCCTGCGCCTCGGGCAGGATGGGAAGGAAGGGAGATGAGGCCAGGACTTCAGCACCAAGTCTTGTGAGGCGTGTGAGCCAGGATGAGGAGTTCGGATTTTACGTGGAACTCAGTGGGAAATGAAGGCTTCTAAGCAGAAGAACGATATGCTGTTTTTATGAGTCTCATGGCTCCTGCTCTCTTCAGAAAGATGTACCTCCTCATTTTGCTATGGACAGTGGGAACGCAGGAAACGTAGAGAGTCAGAAAAAACATTCAGGGCAACATTACTGTGAAGACCTGGATAACTGAATCCAAGAGGTAAAGTGGCTTGGCTTTTAAGAATCCTGGTCTTCCATCTCCCTTTAATGCCTTCAGAATTAACCATTTTAAAGTCCAGGCGTGTTGGCGCACGCCTGTAATCCCAGCACTCCCGGAGGCTGAGGCAGGAGGATCGCTGTGAGTTCGAGACCAGCCTGGGCTACACAGTGAGTTCCAGGTCAGTCTCAACTACATAGTGAGACCCTGTCTCAGAAAACAACAACAACAACAAAAGAATTAACCATCTTAATATCTACATGTAATCGACAGTTCCTAAAACCTTTTGGATATTTTCATTTTCTTTCTTGAATTTAGATTGAACCATATGTGGGAGCTTTTTATAAATGCATACTCCAGAAAAGAAATAAATATTGTATAAGTATAAAATAATTTCCTCTGTTGAGATAGAAAAATGAAAAGGATTGAGGCTTACGTATGTTATCTTGGTAAACTACTGAACAGTTCCCTTAATCTGATCTGTAGACTGTTGCTGTTAATTTTAACAGCAGTTCTCAATCTTTTAGGTCTTAGAATCTCTGTATTAAAACTTCCAGAGAACATCAGAGTTTTTGTTTATCTGGGTTATAGCTACCAATATTTATCATTTTCAACAGCAGAACTTTCCAAAATTGAGTTGTAAAATAATATACTCATTACATGATAATATGCCAGCATTTTTTTCTCATTTGATCGTTATACATTATTTACATGTATTGAATTATCACATGGTCCCCATAGCTTTTTACAATTATTATATGTTGGTAGCATTTAAAGGAATTTTAATATTGACATGTATTTGAAAAGATGTCCTCGAATTTAACAGCCTTAGTAGAGGATATTCAATATTCACAAATGGTTTTTTTGGTTGGTTGTTTTAGTTTTTTGTTTTTGTTTTGGGCTTTTTTTGGACCAGGGATTGAACTAGACCTTGTGGCAGGCGCAGGCGAAGCACCTGTAAGCTACATCCCCCGCCCCAGAAATGTGAACATTAGGTACAGGTTAAGTGTTATTGCAAAGCCCAAGAAGTCATTTCTTTGTATTAATATAGGGGAAAAATGTGACACTAAGCCTGGTAGATGTTACATACAAATTCGTGTTCCCCGAAATCAAAGAATGAATTCTATGGAACAACACAGATTAATAGTAGGAAAAATTATAGAGAGAGATAGCTCCTAAGAGACAGGAGAGAATCCAAAAGTGGGTTGCCAATGATCAGACTTCTCTGAGATAGTTTTATAAAGCAAAATTATGAGTTGGGTACAAAATCATGAGGTGCGTACAACATGGGTCAAAACTATGATCAGCCAATAAGATTACAAGTATAGCTCCTTAGGTAATATTTAATATTGATCCAGAAGGGAAGTAGGTCATGTGTAGCAAGTGTACATGAAAGAACAAAGACATTTTTAGGAAGAGATGAGAGGTTTTGGTCACCCACATAGTGACGATGTCTGTCTAGGCTTTCTTGGACGAGGTGATACCAGTTGCAGTGTATTCTTTAAATTATGGCTTATCACTCAGGGAAGTATGTAGGCCTGACCATTCCATCTTTTTCTTGAGGCCTGGCTTTCCACAGATGCACCTCCAGCCACAGCTGTAATATCTTTTCATCTGCACTGACTCCCTTGAGGACCTAGTCCTGACTACCTGTAATATCTCTCTCTAACCTAGCCATCTATAATAGTATGACTAATACAAAGCTAGGTATTTTTTTCTTAAACTTTTTTAGTATATGTTTGCAGTCCATAATAATTACATTCATCCTGAGAGTTGGTACGCGTACGTAACACGTCTCAATTCTTTTTACATCCTTTCCCTCTCCCTCCTTCCAGCTTCATTTTTCCAGTATGTATTTTTGCATACTTTTCCTTCTGCTTCTCCCTTTCCTTTTCCCCCCTATTATCTATCTTTTACTGTAGCACTTTATTTATATTTTGGATTTCTCATATAAGAGAAAGCTTGTGATATTTAAACTTGTGTGTCTCATTTCACTTAACGTTATAGTCTCAAGGTGTATCCATTTTCCTTCAAATGACTCAAATTTATCTTATATGGCACAAGAGTTCTCCATTGTATATAAATACCTAATTTTCTTTATCCATTCATCTGTTGATGGCTGCTTCCAAGATTTAGCTATTTTTGTATTGTGTTGCTATAAGTGGTTGTGCATATATCACAATAATATATGTCTTTAACTCTTATATGTAGAAGGGAAACAGCTGATTTGAGTGGAATTTCCATTTTTAGTTCTTTAAAGAATCTCCATGCTGATGTGCATACTAGTTTACATTCTCACTAACAATGAAGGATTCCTTTTTCCTCCACAGCCCCACCAGCTTTTGTTGTTATCTGTTTTCGTTTTCTTTTTCTATTTTTGTACCAGGGATGGAACTCCAAGTCCTTGTGCTTGCAAGGCCGGCTGCAGAACCACTGAGCTAAATCCCTGGCCTTTTTTTTTTTGGTACCAGGGATCAATCTCAGGACCTTAAGCTTGCCATTAACTTGATTTTTTGATGATAGCCATTCCTTCTATATCAGCATTTCCTTAAAGCCTATATTTCAAAACAACAAAAATCCTGAGAATGGCAGTGTTTTACAATGGCAATTTTTTTCAAATCTCTTTAATGTCTGACTTAGTAGAAAAGAACTAGGCTTTTATTGCTCCTGCATTCTTTTGAAGTGCCACTTATTATGTAGCCTTTGAAAAATTGCACTATGTTGTAGAGAATGAAAGTGAAAAAGGCAAATGCCATCTATTTTTGTTTTGGTTTTTGTTTTTGTATTTGAGCCAGGGTGGCCTTGAACTCACTGTGTACACCGCGCTGGCCTCAGACTCAAAGCAGTCATCCTGCTTCAGGTGCCTTGGTGCTGGGATTATAGGCTTGTACCACCACACCCAGCTAAATATGCTGGTATTATTATTAAAATAGTTTTGGAAAAAACCTCAAGAATGCCCAGAAATCAACTGTTCCACACTTTGAAAATTGTTGAATTATGGCGCTGTCATATAACCATCCAGAGAAGTATAGCCTTGATTTGTAAATTAGTAAAACTGTATGCACATTACATATACAGATGCCTACATTTGCCCCCCCAGAGGTGCCAAATCAGTAAATCTGCTTAGTCCCAAGAAATCTGCACCTTTAACAAGTACTACAGATCTAAGACTAAAAGTTGCAGTTTGAGAAAAGCAGTCAGAGACTAAGGCTGTGGAAAGGTAGTAATAAGTTTGTAGCATACACCTTTCTGGCAACCAAGTTGAATTTCTGAATTTGGTGTTGATCACTTTTTACAGGCAGTGGCCCTTTGAAAAGGACTGAAAAACTTTATAGGCTATGGGTTCTTAAGCTTACCATCTTTGATCACATAAACTGGCAAAAGAGGGACAGTGCAATAATTCTTATCATAGAATAGCCTCAGTGTGCTAGAAGAATGGCAAAGCAAAAAAAAAAAAACTTGTCTAAAATAACACGATGGCACTGTGATGCACTTCTCTTTTGAGGGCCTGCACTCTATTTTCTTTGGGCACTTTAAATTCTGCCTAATAAATCTCTTTGTCTCTTTAAAAAATAAAATAAAAAAATAAAGAGGATGAGGAGTTTAGGTAAAAGAGCTTCCTGAGGGCAAGGGATTTATCCTGCCTCTAAAGCACAAGGTCCTGAGTTCAATCCCAGGTACCCCCCCCAAAAAAAAGTGAAATTACTTCAGTGTCATAGAGAAAAATTTCCACAGGATCAATAATGAGGTGCAAAAGAAACAACTAGAACTTTATGGTGAAAAGTTAGAGAGTAAAACATGGATAATCGAAGCTTTGTAGGAAGCTAGGAAAACTGGAAAGTTTATAGGATTTAAGCAAAGAACAAAATAATGATAATTACTCTCCAGAAGAGAAACGACTACTAGAGCACATCAGGGCTGTATAACCAAAGACCATACTAAACTTCTGAATCCGTTTATTTCTTCAAGGATTTATTATGCATATATATTTGGACTTATGATTTCTCCTGTGCCACCTGAATGTATTTCTGAGAATTATGGCACCAGACTGGGATTTTTAACTTATCCCGGGGGCACTGAAAAATCACCAGTAGATTTTAAAGTTATCTTGACTTGCTTGGATTGGTATTTAGTACCAGTTCTGAAAGGTGGAGTGTTTACATACATCTAAGGGGTAAGATTGGAATCAGAAAGTCCTCTTTAGAACCATTGAGGGGCTGGGGATTTAGCTCAGTGGTTTGGTGGCCTGCCTTGCAAGCGCAAGGACCCGAGTTCAATCCCCGGTCCAAAAAAAAAAAAAGAAACATTGAGGATATACTCCTAAGTGAAATAAATAGGTCACACATGTGTAAATATCAAATAGTTTCTCTGGTGTGAAAAACCATAATAGTATATAAGATCCTAATGAGATAATTGACTATGTGAAATAGGAAGAAAAAGGCCAAAGACGTAGGAAAACTGGGAAGGGTAGGGGAAAGGTAATAAGTGAAAAGAAAAAAATACGAGAAAATGAAAAAATGCAAAGAAAGTGTTTGTAAAGGGGGAGGGGAGGAGGGGTGAAGGGAGGGCAGGGACAAGGGGAAAAAATGAGAACCAAGACCTGTCATGTAGAGGTACAAGATCAATAATGATTGAGATAATTGACTATGTGAAATAGGAAGAAAAAGGCCAAAGACGTAGGAAAACTGGGAAGGGTAGGGGAAAGGTAATAAGTGAAAAGAAAAAAATACGAGAAAATGAAAAAATGCAAAGAAAGTGTTTGTAAAGGGGGAGGGGAGGAGGGGTGAAGGGAGGGCAGGGACAAGGGGAAAAAATGAGAACCAAGACCTGTCATGTAGAGGTACAAGATCTCAATAATGAATGTAACTGTACTGTACACCTAAAATGTACCAATAAAGTCAATGAGGAGAAAAAATAACAATAAAAAAAATTTAGAAGAGTGTGGTACTAAGATAAGGCAGGAACAGTAAGAACTTAAACATGCAGGAAGTGATATAATAATA